TTCCTTGGGACGAAATAAATCCATTATTCCGAGGAGATCACGCATCACCTCACTCTCATTACGATGAGACCACTGGAGAATTGATCAACTTTAATATGGAATATTTTACAATGGGAACAAAATATAATTTCTTCACAATATCTGAAAGTAATCCTAATGGACAGATAATTTGCAGCATTACGGCAAAGGCATCCTACGTTCATAGCTTTGGTGTCACACCCAGATTTATCGTTTTGGTAATGAATGCTCTACCACCATAAAAACAAAATAATTTCACATGGAAAACTTCTAACTTGCAAATGTTATTAGGTGATTTTTCCATTTTACGTCAAAAACGCTGGCATTAACGTAAAGTGGTCGGACAACATCTTGGACTGCTTTATGTTTAAGCCAGATGAACCCACATTATTTTACGTAATTTCCAGAGAGAAGAAACAACACGTCGCCACTTATAGATCTGATCCCTGTTTTGCGTAAGTAGCGTTATTTTATGTTATTTCGTAAACTTGTATATTAATATTTCTTTATTAAAAAAAAAAAAGATTCCATCATATCAATTCATTTGAAGATGAAGATGACAACATATATTTGGATATTGTGTGTTATGATACAACGGATGTTGTATACGACCTGACCATAGAAAATTTGCGCCAAGGATTAACCATTGGCCTGCCTATGGCCGAAGTTCGTAGATTCGTCTTGCAAGGTGTCCAACGAGAATCTATGAAATTTGCAAATAATGCACGAGAGACTCAAACGGATGGTTCTCAAAGCACGTTCATGTCGATGTTTTCGAAAAGTCCATCGTATCAACAAGTTTCCGCGTGTCCTAATGCAAGTTATGTTAGGTGTACTGATTCTACTTTGGAGTTACCAAGGTATAGGTTTATTTTCTGGACAATCTTATATTAAATCCAGGAACATTTTTTAATCAAATTGCTTTTAAAGGATCAATCCCAAATTTAAGCGTCTAAAGTACCGATATGTCTACGGCATCGGCGTTTCTGCACGAGCTGGCGAGCATACCGGAGAAATTTGGGATGC